TTACTTGAAAGCTTTCTATTTCTTTGATGTTTCTACTATAAACTATAAGTTTCTACTATAAGTTTCTACTATAAACTTCCTTCATAGTACACCTTTTGCTGTATCCAACTGTTTGGGCTTGCTATATTTTCATTTTTATTTATTTCAGTTTATCAGTCATTCAAGAGACTATTTTTTTAACTTTTATTTAATGAATATAAATTTCCAAAGTATAGCTTATGGATTACAATGGCTTCCCCCCACCCCATAACTTCCCTCCCACCCGCAACCCTCCCCTTTCCCACTCCCTCTCACCTTCCATTCACATCAAGATTCATTTTCAATTCTTGTTATATACAGAAGATCAGTTTAGTATATATTAAGTAAAGATTTCAACAGTTTGCACCCACATAGCAACACAAAGTGAAAAATATTGTTTGAGTACTAGTTATAGCATTAAATCTCAATGTACAGCACATTAAGGACAGAGATCCTACATGAGGAGTAAGTGCACAGTGACTCCTGTTGTTGACTTAACAACTTGACACTCTTGTTTATGGCATCAGTAATCAAATCACCCTAGGCTCTTGTCATGAGTTTCCATAGCTATGGAAGCCTTTTGAGTTCACCAACTCTGATCATATTTAGACAAGGTCATAGTCAAAGTGGAAGTTCTCTCCTCCCTTCAGAGAAAGGTACCTCCTTCTTTGATGACCTGTTCTTTCAACTGGGATCTCACTTGCAGAGATCATTTAGGTTTTTTTTTTTTTTTTTTTTTTTTTTTTTCCCCAGAGTGTCTTGGCTTTCCATGCCTGAAATACTCTCATGGGCTTTTCAGCCGGATACAAATGCCTTAAGGGCTGAATCTGGGGCCAGAGTGCTGTTTAGGACATCCACCATTCTATGAGTCTGCTGTGTATCCCTCTTCCCATGTTGGACATTCTCTCCCTTTTTTGTTCTATCGGTTAGTATTTTCAGACACTAGTGTTGTTTATGTGATCCCTTTGATTCTTAGTCCTATCATTATGATCAATTGTGAACAGAAATTGATCAAATGGACTAGTGGGATGGCATTGGTACATGCCACCTTGATGGGATTGAATTGGAATCCCCTGGTATGTTTCTAACTCTACCATTTGGGGCAAGTCAGCTTGAGCATGTCCCACATTGTACATCTCTTCCCTCTCTTATTCCCACTCTTATATTTAACAGGGATCACTTTTCAGTTAAGTTTCAACACTTAAGAATAACTGTGTATTAATTACAGAATTAAACCAATAGTATTAAGTAGAACAGACAAAAAATACTAAGAGGGATAATGTATTAAGTTGTTCATCAACTTAAGAGACTTTTAAATCCCAAATATTTGTACAATTTTTCATGTTCTTTTTGACTTCTAGTTTTGACTTCTAGTGTTTAGAGAAGAAACATGCTATGATTCCTTTTTTTAAAAAATTTATTGAGAGTTGTTTTATATCCTAATTTGTGATCTATCCTAGAGAAAGTTCCATGTGCTGATAAAAGAAATGTGTATTCTGAAGCTGTTGGATGAAATGTTTTATTAATGTTTATTTGTTCCATAGCGTAGTTTAATGTTTCTTTGTTAATCTTTTGTCTAGATGATCACAAATGTGAAAAAGACATATTTCCATTATTTTGCTAAATTTTTTGACTATTTATATAGCATTTGTTTCTTTCTTCCTCTCTTGTGATTTGATGGCTTTCTATATTGAGAGTCCGATCATCTTCTTCTGCATTGTTTTCTGTTTTACTATTGAGTTTTATACTTTTGCATGTGTCTATGATAGTAGTTATCATCTTTTGGCTTCTAGCATAGGACTCCCTTAAGCATTTCTTGTAGGGCCAGTCTGATAGTATGTGAATTCTTTATGACTGACTTAAAATGACTTTATTTCTCCTTTGTTGGATATAGTTCTCTTGATTGGCAATTTCTTTCCTTAAAGGCTTTGAATAGATCACCCCATTCTTTTCATGCCTGAAAGGATTCTGCTGAGAAATATAGTGTTATTCTAATGAGGATTTCCTCTTATGTGACTTGATGCTTTTGTCTTACTGTCCTGATATTCTTTATTTTATATTTTTGACAGTATAATTATATTATGCCTCACAGAGGATTCTTTTTGATCAAATCTATTAGGGGTCTTTTGGGCTTCCTGGACCTGGGTGTATCTTTTCCAAAACTTAAAAATTTGAGGAATTCAGAAAAGCTTCCTATGCCTTTTATCTTTTCTTCTCTCACTTTATCCCCTATACTGCAAATGTTTGCTTGCTTTATGGTGTCCCATAAATCTCAAAGGCTTTATTTTTAATTTTTTTTCTTTTTATTTATTTTTAATCTGGCTAGGGGAGAGGGAGTGGGAAAGGGGAGGGTTGCGGGTGGGAGGGACGTTATGGGGGGGAAGCCATTGTAATCCATATTCTGTACTTTGGAAATTTATATTCATTAAATAGAAGTTTAAAATAAATAAATAAATAAATAAAAAATCTGGCTAGTTTAAAAAGGCCTGTCTTCCAACTCAAAAATTCTTCCTTTTGCCTGCTCAGCACCACTATTGAGTCAGTAGCTATATTTTTTAGTTTACTTATTCAGTTATTTTGATGATTAATTGTTTTTATGATTATTTCTGCTGAATCTCTCGTATCATGGATTATCTTCCTTATTTAATTAAATTGTCTATCTATATTCTCCTATATCTCATGGTTTCCTTGACATCATTCTGTTGACTTTTTTGTCAGGCAATTCCTTGATTTCCTTTTCCTTGATGTCGGCTGCTGTAAGTTATTGTGTTACTTTGAAGGCATTGTGTTCCTTGGTTCATGCTTCTTTTGACCATACATTGGTAGTATGCATCTGGCAGGTCAATTGCTTCTACTATAATCTTGTAGGGTGAGTTTAAAAGTATAAGACTTTCTCCTGATGATATGTCCTAAAAGTGTTAGTTGCATAGGTTGCATTGGAGTTGTTTCCAAGTGAATACTTTAGCATGGTATCCTGCTTCATTTATAATCAGCCTTTTTCATATCTGTTACCTAATCCCCTTGGTCATCAGTTTCTTCTTGGGTACTGTGAAAGAGGTGGATTGAAAGACATCAAATGGGGGTCAGTGCTGAGGCATAGTAGATTAAGCCTCCACTTGTGGTGCCAACATCCCATATGGTGCCAGTTCAAGTCCCAGCTGCTCCACTTCTAATACAAACCCTAGTAACGGCCTGGGAAAGCAGAGGAAGATGGCCCAAATGCATGGACCCCTGAACCCATGTGGGAGACCTGGAAGAAGCCCATGGTTCCTGGCTTTGGATCAGCCCGGCTCTGGCTACCGTGCCCTTTTAGGGAATTAACCAGCAGATAGAAAACCTCTCTCTCTGTCTGTAACTCTGCCTTTCAAGTAAATAAGTAAATATTAAAAAAAAAAAACTCAAATGTAGTTTGCCACTTTAAAGTACTAGGAATACACCAGAATGAATATTGCTTTGTGATGCAAAATCATCCAGATACCTCCCTGGTTGAGCATTTTGCTGTTTTATCGTTGATGGTAGAATTTAGCCCATGGAAGATAAAGCAGTCCAGGGCCAGTGTTGTGATGCAGATGGCTAAGCCATAGCCAGCAATGCCAGCATCCCATATGAGTGCCAGTTTGAGTCCCAGTTGCATCACTGCAAGGACTGTGCCTGGAAAAGCAGTGAAAATATGACTCAAATGTTTGGGCTGCTGCCACTCACATGGGAGACCTGGATGGAGTTTCAGGCCGCTGGCTTCAGCCTGGTCCAATCCTGGCCATTGTGGCCAATTTGGGAGTGGACCAGTGGATTGAAGACCTCTCCCCTCCCCTCCGCCCCTTGGTTCTCCTCCTCTCTGTGTAACTCTGCTTTTCAAAGAGGGAGGAGCAGCAGCAGCTAAAGTGGTCCTACTCCTCTGACTAACTCAGGGGCACCATGGGTGTGAGCATCTGTTGCCTTTATCTTTTGCAGACATGCTCAGGGATATGTTGTTCATCTGTGATCTGCTTTTTTGGGCACTAACGTATCTACTTTGAGGCAAGATCACAGTGCAGCAACCTCTGCCTGAAGCCAGGAAAATTGAGGACGTTATAAAATTTGAAAAAGGAACCCTCCACAGCATGCAAGCCTTTTGACTTAATAGAACCTGAATTATGCATTATGCACACAGATCTATAACTAAAAATGCTCCAGGCTTTTCTCTTACTATGGGAAAGAGAATTTCTTTGCGTAAATTTGCTTTGTAAAATTTGCCTATAGATTTTTACTACACTTTTCTAACACTTAGAGACTACTTAAGTTTGGATCTTTAAAACAGCAGAAAATATTTTAATCTATTTAAAATCCTCTCACTTTGAATTGTACTTTTCTGAAGCCATCAGAGCCAGAAAATACAGAGGGGGTGACCAGGAAATAGTGAAATAAGAAACAGTTATAAGAACTGGAATTCATTTGTTAACTCAGTGTCTTTTTTTAAAATTTATATACCGTATTTGAAAGGCAGAGTTACAGAGAGAGAGAGACAGAGAGATCTTCCATCCTTTTCCATCCTCTGATTCACTCCTCAAATGGCCACAGTGGCCAGAGCTGGGCCAGACTAAAGCCAGGAGTCAGGAGCTTCTTCCAGGTCTCCCATGCGGATGGCAGGGGTGCAAGCATTTGGGCGGTCTTCCTGTGCTGTCCCAGGCTCTCTAGCAGGGAGCTGGATCAGATGTGGAGCAGCCAAGGCTCAAACTAACACCCGTATGCACTGCAGGTGGCAGCTTTACCCTCTATGCTACAGTGCCAGCTCCTAATACTGTGTCTTCAGCAAATCGTCCACCCTCTGGCTTTGCTTCCTTGCATGTTATTTGGACTGAAGATAGTCAGTCTTACAGTGCCAGTCTTGCATTATTCTTGAGTGGCACACACATAGGCAAATTATGAGAAAGCTTCAATGTCACATGTTTATTTGTCCATATCATTAAATGATCTGCATTTTCTTTTTCTCATTTCTTTCAAAGGATAACAGTTTCAGCCATGTGCTTTATGGATTTCACCAGGTTTCCTCTTGACACTCAAAATTGTTCTCTTGAACTGGAAAGCTGTAAGTTTTACTTCTTGATGGAGTGAGTACACATCATCTGAACATACCATCACATATTTGTATGCAAATACTCACAGACATGATTTTTAGCAAGTATTTAAAAAACCTTGACATAGTTGTCTAAAGGAGTTGTAAGTTTTTGTCTTTTTGGGATTTTCCCCCTAAGGCTGACTATAGTATCTGTCTCAGAAGAGAAGCTGTTTAAAAAAAAAAAAAAAAAAAAAAAAAAAAAAAAACAGTGGTTTTATAATTACATAGTCTGCAGTTTCCACAATGATTATAAAGGAATAGCTCCCTAAAAAGGTATGTTCAAGCTAATGCTACTGCATTGAATAACAGGTTCACCACATTTGAAAAGCTCTTGAATTCATGTTCCTGAATGAATCATAATTCTGAATTCAGTGTATTTGGACTCCCCTGGGGAAACCTACCTCTAGACATAACCGTATAATCAAGGCACTGTCACAGGATATCTGAGCCAGATTCCTGTCAATTACTTTGATATATTATTATTTTTGAGATGACATCTTAACAGCATATTCATAATGTGTCTAAAGTGATGAGAATTCAATGGATATCTACTACACAGGTACTTCTCTCCAAATCCATTAGAAACTTTCTGTATCACAATTTGATTTTAGAAAATAAGTCTTTACAATCCAGGCCCATTTTTTTAAAATTTTGCCCAATAGTACTGAAGAGCCAAGGTGGACTATCATTCTGGAATCAAGTCTGTGAATACGAGGCAATGTCATGACATCACTCCGAGTCCTGGCTTAATATTATAAAAGGATGAGCACAGATAAGGGAGGTAGCTGTTTGGACAGTTTCAACTCACTGTGTGGGCACAAAAGAAGCCTCTACACTAAACAAGTCAGTATTTTTTTTTTTTGAAGATGTGGATGTGATCAGTTTACTGGCAAACATGTTTTTCAGCACCTAATATAGTCATGTCATTTGACATGCTTGAGATAGAGAACTGCATATAATGTGGTTGTGGACCTCAAGGAGCATATTCCTATTATCAGAATGTCATTCTTTTGTTTTAGATGCCTATAGTGAGGAGGATCTAATGCTGTACTGGAAACATGGAAACAAGTCCTTAAATACCGAAGAGCACATTTCCCTTTCTCAGTTCTTCGTCGAGGAGTTCAGTGCATCCAGTGGATTAGCTTTCTATAGCAGCACAGGTACAGTGTTTTATATGGATGACTCACTGGCATTTATTGATATCCTGTTGTTTGCAAAGCACCATAACATATGAAGACACATGAATCAAAACAAATGTGGAATTTGGCCAATAGCATCATCCCTGTCCTTCCACAGACAACTGCCTCTTCGTGTCCAAAGTATCATTTCTCTCCCCTTTGTGCAACCACCTCTAACTAGCTGCATTGCTTCTACTCTTGGCCCTTCCAGACCACTCTCAATACAGCCAAGTGATCTTTAGAAACATAAAGATCACAACTGTTTCCTGACCAAAAGTCCCCCTATCTAGTGTTTACCATTGCGCTTACAACCAGATTCAGTGTTCTCAACACATCTATTTCCTGCCCAACGCTCTGACCTTACCAACTATCCCTGCCCCTCCACCTTATCTTACCTAGCCATTTTGGTCATCCATCGTGTTCTATCTGTAGGGCTTCTGCTTGGATCTTCTTTTCTCTCTGTCTGGAATGCATGACCAGCTCCTGCACTTTGTTCAGAGCTTTGAGCAAATATATTCCCATCCCACCCTGTCTAAAATCAGCCTCCTTTTTTGGCATTCCCTGCCTCTATTTGTCTTCACAGAACTTAGCACTACCTGAAATACATACTTGACCTCTCTGCTGCCTGAGTGCCTCACTAGAAAGAGGGCAGAGAATCCTTCTGCCTTGTTCTCCATTTCTGCCCTCAGCTCCTAGAAGGTACTGCACATGATAAGTTCTCAATAAAAACCAGCTGAATCAATCAAACACTGTATACTCTTTGCTGCGATAGATATGTGTTTGATTTGGCAATATTTACCCAAGGCATTTGCTAACATTACACTTGACCTTTATTAACTTAAGGTAGAAGCATCCCTCTCTGATTGCCTCTACCGCACTCCATCTCCTTCCATCAATACCCTGATTGTTGTTTGTATTCTTGGTCACTTTTAAACAGGGTCTATACAAAATACCATTTCAGATTCAATGAAGCCAGATTCAGGCCAGAAATTGTGCCAATAGCTGCCCTGAGGTTCAGAGCTGTCCTGGCTAGGGTCCTTTACTTTTCTGTTTTGCAGTGGTACACTTTCCCCTCAAAGGTACTTGGCTCTCTTCTTAGATATTGAAGAGGAGTTATGAAGTTACATCTAAAAAGTCTGTATCATTAATAGGGAAACCAAAATTTGCATCATGGATGAACTAAGCTACTTTCCAGGACAAATAGCCATTTAGCTGTTTACTTCCAGAAGAAATGCTCTGTTACACCCCATTATTTGTCTACATTGTTTGAGAGTCAGCAAACGGTATTATTAATTTTAATGATGTTTATTACTTTTGCTGATTATGGAAGTAACACACATTTGTTTGTTTTGATATCTTACATATCTCTGGCTCATAGTACATGCTCAAAGGCTAATTATTGAAAGAACCCATAAATGTAGATAATTTGAAAAACACTCAGAAAAGTTCAAAGAATAAAGCTTTTGTAACTCCATAAGGATAAACTTTAGTTAATAATTCTTTTGATATATTTTTCTTATCTTTTTTGTATTTGTCATTCTCTATATAAACAAATACAGAGATATTTGTATCAGCATTTTTAATGTTCTTAGTATTAAGTTGATGTTCTGATAAAAGAATGCATGCAATTAGTGATATGCATATAAAATGTTATATATAGGATTTTTACCTTATTATTACTATGACAAAATAACTTTGGCACATTACAAGTTGTGAATAGAACTGTATAATATTCAATTATAATATAAAGTAATTACATGTGAAGCATAGAAATCCAAGAGTTTCCTATGCAGAATATAAACAATAACACGATGGCATGTCCATTAACATACATCCAGCTACCTTCTTAGAAGAAGTTAAATTTCACTTCCAAATTCTAACTTCACCACTAAGTCATTCTGTTCGTTCCCCTGTCTCTTTGCTTGTGCTTCTCAGTCTTTTTGACCCTGCAAGGCAGTTCTGGTCATGTTTTATTGTCTGTATAAAGCCAAAAAGAATACTTGCATTGAGAAAATTACTGCTCATAAAGATGCTTTGAAATAAACTACAAGTCCTTAATATTCAGGTGCAATTATATTCTTAAATAGCATTTTGATTCCTAAGATAAATGAGACAACATAAAATCAGGTTATATGTGTTTTGTGTGGCATGAAATGGAGAGTTATATACAATAATTTTTTTAATTGTATACCTTTATTAAAATACCATATCAGGAGGCATTCATGTGGTACAGTTGGTAAGGCTGCTGCTTGGGATACCTGCATCCACTGTCAGAGTGATAATTTGATTCCTGTCTACTCCACTTCCCATCTGGCTCCTTGCTAATGCACCTGGAAAGCAGTAGATGATGTCTCAGGTGCCTGCATTTCTTCCACCCACATGGGAGACCTGGATGGGGTTTCTGGCTCCAAGCTTCAGCCTAACCCATCCCCAGTTGCTGGGGGGACTGGACCAGTATATGGAAGATATCTCTCTCTCTCTCCCTTTCTTCCTTTCAAATAAATAATAATTTTTTTCAAATAATAAATACTATACATTGTATTCCATAAATATGTACAATGATTAAGTGTTAAACATGCTGACTAACCCAATTTGATCAATACACATTGATTACATGTTCTCATTGAATATACTGTATCCCCAAAGAATGTACAATTAAAGTAATGATAGTAGAGGAATTCCTTAAATTCCAAAAAAATTTTTAAAGCAAATTGCAGAAGAATTATACGTATATAATATACATATCATAATTCTTCATTTGTTATTAAAGAAAGAATTTATACTCTGGTTTCTCTTCAGATCATATAAATCTTTTGCCTTTTTAAAGAAAGTATTTGTATATAATATGTATGTATATATGAAAGTACTCATGGAAAAATGTAATTAAAGTGTTTATTTTGGTACAAAATTTTTTTCAAAATCTAGACAGTTTTGTCATAATACACATTTCCATGAATTTTAGGAAGATCCTGCATGTGTATAATCTCAAATTTTTGAATCCAGTATTTATTTTTATTTGAAAAGCAGAAAGACAAATAGAAATCTCCATCAACTGTTTCACTCTCCAAAATCCTGTAACAGCCAGGCTGGACCAGGTTGAAGCCAAGAGCCAGCAACTCAATCTGGATTTCCCACATGGGTTGCAGGGACCTAATACTTGAATCATCAACTGCTACCTCCCAAGATGTGCATTAGCAGGAAGCTGGGTTGGAAGCAGAGGAGCCAGAACTCAAATCAGATACACGGATGTGGGATGTGGGTATCTGAAGCAAATACCTGCCCTCATCAAAATTTTTTGCACCAAAAGAAACACTTCAATCTATTTTTTTCAAAAATGTTTTGAAGTTTCCAGATGTACCTATGCATAAATATATGTATGCATATGTGTGTGTTGCATGAGCACAATCTAGAAAGAGTAACAAGAATAATTCTGAGATATAAGTACACATTGAAGAAATTTTTCATTTTATTTCAACATTTTTGTCTTTTTTAAATTTGTGCCAATGTACACAATTTTTAATAAGACAAGAATATGTTCTTTTAAAATTTTTAATTAATATAAAGAGAACCAATTTTACACAATCCATAGGTAGACTTCCAAGAACACAACCACACTTCCCTCATTCCCCTATTCTTCTCCCAGTGTCTTTTCCTCCCTCCTCTTCTTCATCAGTCATGGAAAGATATAATTTTAATCCACTATATATTCACAGCCTTTATAAATCACTAATCATTATATTCAACAGTAAAAAGTAGGAATACCATAGTTCCACAAAAGTATAGACAAGAGCTAAAAATGACAATCATATCCCAAAGTGACTATTTTATTCCAACATATATTTTTGTGTTCTGTGTTAACTGCCATGTATCAGAGAAAATATATATTTGTCTTTTTGAGACTGGCTTACTTCATAAAGCATAATGGTTTCCAGTTGCATCCATTTTGTTGCAAAAGATAGGATTTCATTCTTTTTTATAGCATAGTATATTTTTTTAAATCAGTCTTCAGTTGATGGACATCCATCTGTACTGATATCCTATCTTAGCTATTGTAAATTTAGCTACAATAAACACAGGGATACAAATAACTTTCATATGGTGATTTAATTTCATTTGGGTAAATTCCCAAGAGTGGGATATCTGGGTCATATGATAAATCTATTTTCAGATCTCTAAGGAATTGCCATACTATCTTCCATAATGACTGTACTAGTTTACATTCTCACCAACAGTGGATTAAGGTACCTTTTTTCCACATACTTGCCAGCATTTGTTGTTTGTTGAATTTGGTGGTGATAGCCATTCCAGATGGGGTGAGGTGACACCTCATTTTGTTTTTCATTTGCATTTCCCTGATGGCTAGTGATCCTGAGCACTTTCTCATGTGTCCGTTGGCTATTGTATTTCATCCTTGGAAAACTGGCTTCTCAAGTGCCCTTTGCCCATTTCTTACTGGATTGTTTGTTTTGTTGTTGTTGCATTTCCTTTACTTTTTATAGATCCTAGATATTAATCCATTATTAGTTTCATAGTTTACAAATATTTTCTCCCATTCTGTCGGTTGCTTCTTCACCTTGCTGAGTGTTTCCTTTGCAGTGCAGATTCCTTTCAGCGTGAGATAATCCCATTTGTCTATTTTTGTTTTGATTGCCTGTGCTTTTGGGATCTTTCCCAAGAAGTCTTTGCCTGTGCCAATGTCTTGCAGAATTTTCCCAAAGTTTTCCTCTAGTAATTTGATGGCATCAGGTCATAGACTTAGATCCTTGTTCCATTTTTGAGTCGAATTTTATACAAGGTATAAGATCTTGTTTTGTGCTTCTACATACATAGATCCAGTTTCCTGTACCATTGCTAAAGAAAATGCCCTTTCTCCAGGGATTGATTTCAGCTTGTTTTTCAAAATTAGTTGGTTGTAGATGTGGGGATTAATGTCTGGGCTTTCTATTCTGTTCCATTGATCTACATGTCTGTTTTTGTACCCA